GAGACCCAAATTGCCATCAGGATTATCAGAAGCCACTCCTCACCCCATAGACTGAGGCAGCTGGTAGGAATTTTGTTTTGTTTTGTTTTGTTTTTTTATTTAAAGAAAAGGAAACAAAAAAATACGTGGAGATTTTAAAAAAAGGTAGAAATAATACAAAATTACAGAAAAACAAACGGTAAGAAATTGCTGGTTGATAAGTTACACATTGTCATCTTAGAAATAGCTGTTCAGGTTATAGAATTAAAGTATTTAGAATGACATTCAAAAAGTGACACTACAAACTGTTCTGCTCTATGATCAAACAAAAGCTCAGTAATATGGTTATCAGTCCTACACATTTGTTTTACATCTCAAAGAGGGTAAGATTAAACATATCAAAACAGAACAGAACATTAAAAAAAACAATTTAAAGAAATACAGATTTCAAAGCAAGTCCACTGGAGATCTTCATTGTCTATCTAACTGTCTCTAGTTTCTTACAAATAGTTGTCCCTATCTTCACCCACTTTATATACTTATTGCATATTATAGAACTAATCAAATCATTACAGGATGATGAAGGCTTTTTAGGTTCTCAAGTTCCGAATTAGGGAAGACAATAGTAACTACCATCGCATCTCTCATTCTCTTTGTGATAGCTGTCCCCATCTCTACATATGCTGAAGTTGAACTGAAGAAACCAGTCCAATGTCATTCTAATCAGCGAACAATAGATTGCTAGAATTTATATTATAATGCTACAAAATAAGCCTCGGGTTTCTCAGCGTCTTGGATACCACTTTTCCTCACTGTAGAGATCTCAGCAGCTGGTTGAGAACACCCTTCCCCCACACCTAAAAAACCTCAGCAGCCCATGTACCACCAGCAACCCCTGCTACGACCTGCAGAACCTTGGTGGGCTGCTGGGAACCTCAGCAACACCTCACCCACATGAAGGACCTCAGCAGGTCTGTGACACTGTAGTGAGTTGCCGCTTCAAATAGAGGACCACAGTAGGTAAACAGGAACAGCAGTGAACACTTCCCCTCAGCTTTAGGACCTTGGCAAGCCCAGCCGGATAGTAGAGTCCTTCTGTAAAGAGAACATTGGGTTAGTTGAGGAGAGCAACCAACAAGTCCTCCCCAACTCAGAGGAACCTTAAAGGGACTACAAGATGCCCAGTGACACAGTATAGTCCCAGCTGAGGCACAAACTATAGCCAGGTAGATCTGGTGGCCTGGAATAGGCTAAAGCTTCAGTAACAATAAGACCTAAAGGTTGGCTTCATCAATACTCCTAGGCTAATCAGCCTAAGAAGAATTTGGAACTCATCCAACAGCCCTAAAGGAGTAATTCAAGTGACTGGTCCTCTCCTTCATTGTAAGACCCAGCAATTGGACAAACACCAGCCACACAGTAGGATCTTAAGACACACACAATGGATAGTAGAGAATAGTGAGATTGAAAAGGCCAAACCATTTACCCACAAGGTGGAAATGACAAAATGAAAAATCAAAATGCAATCTGAAATGTCAAGTTCATCAAGAATAAGTACAGGAGTCACTGAGATAAAGGACATTAGAAATCATACATCTGAAATTTCTGAAAAAATAGCAAGTGAAATAAAGAAACAAACCCATGAGGATATAGAGGAAATCAGGTTAGAAATAATGTCTCAGGTAAAGAAAGAGATAACAGCCTTAAAAAGGGAGTTGCTCAGTATAGCTAGAGAAGACATAAATAACAAAAGTACAGGAACAAAGGAAAATGATGGAAATCTTTTTTATTAAAAAAATTAAAAGAAAGAAGAAGATTAAGATAAAAGAGGACATAACAACATAAAAACATAATATACTGTGTCAGAACAGAACAATTTAAGCAACATAGTGTTTCACCACAAGATAACCTGACATAACAGTAGCTACCATAGTGTCTCTTTCCTTGAAATATTTGAGTATAACTCCGTATATTATAGTAATTGATGGAAATCTTGAATGAACAATATAAGAAAGAAATAGAATGCATGAAACAAATTCAAAGAGATATCCAAGAAATGAAAATTTCCACTGTAACCTGGTGAAATCATTTTAATGAAGCTGAGGCTAGGCCTTTGGACCTTGGAAGACAAGATCACAGCTAACGATCATGAAAGCAAAGAACTTTTAAGAAACAATAATGGAGCATGAAATAATTCAACACCTTCAAGATGAAGTAAAGACAATATAAGATTGATAGGCATCAATGAAAATGCAGGTGTCAACACAAATGACATTTAAAAAGTTATTCACAGAAGTAATAGCACAAATTTTCCCAAACATGGGAAAAGAATCAGATATACAGATAAGTCAGGCACATAGAATGCCAAAAAGTCATAACCAAAATAAATCTACATCCAGACATATAATAATTAAGATCTCAGAAACTCAGCATAAAAACAGAATACTAAAATGTGTTAAGAGAAAAGACACAATTCATCTATCAAGGAAAGCCCATTAAAATCATTACAGACCTCTAAGCACAAACCCTTAAATTAAAATGATCTTGGAGTAAAGTACTTCAAGCCCTGAATGAAAACATTTTTCAACCCAGATAGATGTACGCAGAAACCTTTTTTTGAAAATTAATTGAGAAATGATACTTCCATGACAAAGAACAACTGAAGAAATTCATATCCACCAAACCAGTCCTACTGAAAGACATTCTAAAGAGAGAAAAAAAAAATGACAATTCCAAGAATACCAACAGAAAGAAACCACCAGGCAGGACAAGCACTTAAATAACTGGAAAAGCAGGAAACCAACAATAGGAAAATAACATGACAAAGTTAAGCCAGCACGTATCAGTTATGTCAATCAATGTAAATGGTCTCAACTCACCAATTAAAAGAAATAGGTTGACACAATGGATCAAGAAACAGGATCCAACAATATGTTGTATACAAGAATCATATATGACTCAAAAAGAAACTCATAGGCTAAAGTCAAATTATGGAAAACAATAATCAATGTGACAGGAACCCAGAGAAATGCAGGGGTAGCTATTCTGTTTGCAGACAATGTGAACTTCAAATCAAAAATGGTCAAAAGAAATAAAGATGTTCACTATATACTTGTTATGGGAAAAATTCAAGAGGAAGAACTAACAATCATAAATATATATATGCACCAAACTATATAAGAGTACCCAACCTTATAAAACAAATACTAATAGACATGAAAAAAAATACACAATAACATGTTTGTAACAGGGGATCTTAATACCCCTTTGTTGCAAAGGGATAGATCACCAAGACAAAAAGATAACAAGAAATAACAACTAATCAAACCTGTGAACAAATGGACTTAGTAGACATTTAGTGTTCCACCCAACAACATCAGAATACACATTATTCTAAACTGCACACGGGTCATTTTCCAGAATAGACCATATATTACCCCATAGAACATGCTGAAGTAAACACAAAGGGGTTGAACGTATCCTATGCATATTATCTGACCACAGTGCCCTGAAATTGGAAATTAATGGTGAAAGAAACTTCAAAAACTACATGAACAGGTGGAATTTAAATAACAATCCCTTGAACAACTAATGAGTCACAGATAAAATTAAAGAAGAAATTAAAGATCTACAATTCAATTAAAATACAGATACAATATATTGAAACCTGTAGGATGCAATGAAAGTGGCCCTAAGAGGAAAATATACAGCAATGAACTGTCACATCAAGAAAAGCAGAATGAGCACAAATAAACGACCTAAAGCTGCACCTCAAGCTTCTAGAAAAAGAAGAGCAACTCAAGCCCAAAGCTCATAGAAGTGAGGAAATTACAAAGATCAGGGAAGAAATTAACTCAGTTGAGACTGAGAAAACAATACAAAGAATTAATGAAACTAAGAGTTGGTTCTTTGAAAGAATAAACAAAATTGATAAGCTCTAGCCAACCTTATCAAGAAAAAGAGAAAAATTCAAATTTATGCAATTTGGAATGAAAAGTTTGAAATTACTACAGATCCCTTGGAAATACAGATGATCATGAATTCCTACTTTGAAAATGTTTACTCACATAGGGTGGAAAACAGAAAAAATGGAAAGATTCCTAGAAATGTGTGAATTATCAAAGCTGAATCAAGAAGATATAACAATTTTAAATAAGCCAGTATCATCTACTGAAATTGAAAGTGTGATTTAAAAACCTACCTATAAATAAAAGCCCAAGTCCTGATGAATTCACAGCTGAATTCTACAAGAAATTTAGAGAAGATTTTATGCCTACATGCCACAAACTCTTCAATGAAGTTGAAAGGGAAGCAATTCTCCCTAACTTATTCCTAGGGGCAAGTATTATTCTGATACCAAAATCAGTGAAAGACCCAACCAAAAAAGTTGGCCAATCTGCCAATCAATATTGATGCAAAAATTCTCAGTAAAATACTGGGAAATAGAATGCAGTAAATCATCAAGAAGATTATAAATTGTAACTAAGTGGGATTTATCCCAGGAATGTGGGGATGGTTTAGCACATGCAAATCAATAAATGTAATACGCAACATCAACAGAGCCAAAGATAAAAATCACATAATCATCTCAATAGACACAGATAAAGCTTTCAATAAAATCCAACACTTGTTCATGACAGAACAAAAACCCGCAGAAACTCAGAATAAATGGTATATACCTCAATCTGATAAAAGCTATCTATGACAAACCAACAAGCAGCATTCTACTAAATGGACAAAAACTGAAAGCTTTCACTCTAAAATCAGGAACAAGATAAGGATTTCCACTGTCATGTCTCCCATTCAATATAGTTCTAGAAATGTTAGCCAGAGCAATTAGACAAAAAAGAGAAATAAAAAGAGTAAGGATAGGAAAAGAAGAGGTTAAATTATCACTATTTGCAGATGACATGGTATGCTACATAGAAGATCCCAAAAACTCCACCAAAAGACTAGTAGAGTTAAGAACCAAATTCAGCAGCATAGCTAGATACAAAGTCAACACTCAAAACAAAATAGCACTCATTTAAAAATTTTTTTTATTTAAAGAGAGACTAAATAAAACAGAAAACAGGTAGAAATAGCACATACTTTCAAAGAAAAAATTAACAGTAAGAAATCACTGGTTGATTTTTACATATTGTCCTCTAACAAATAGTTGTTCAAGATACAAAAGTGGAACATATAAAGTTGGGATTCAAACAGTGAGACTGCAAACAATTGTGTTAAACTATCCAACAAAAACTTGGTAATATGGTTATCAATCTTATACACTTAACCAGACATGTGGTTATCCATATCTTCATTTATGTTGAGATTAAATAAACCAAAGCAGGCTAAATCACTCTGAACAACGAATTGCTGGATTTCACATCATAACACTCCAGGATCAGCTCTGGGTACTGTAGTATCTCTTTTTCTTCAAAGTATTTGTTCATTTTATCATATGTCATAAGATCAGTTCTCATAAACTGTTTATAGGTTCTATGCATGCATGAGTCTTAACATATATTTCTATCCTTTCTATATTCGAGGGAGAAACAAAATAAAGCAGGACAAAACAAAACATATTCCTATAAACACATAAAATGAAGAAGACATATAAAACTGCTGTATAAGGAGTTCTACCATGGTTACTGTGTTGTCTTTTGTTATCTTCAATAGAATTGGCTATATCATCAGACATAGTATAATTGAATATATCAGTACATAACAGTATTAATAAAAACACAACTTTGTATATAGTATAAAACTTCAAAAGCAGGCAGTTATCAAACCAGAATGTGTATTCATAGTCTTGTCATCTTCAGTTTAGTTGCCTATACTCTCAGACTTGATACTATCTATTATAACAGTTTTGAATAAAATCTGTCAATACCAAACAGCAATCAAATAAACCAGATTTAACTAAGATCAGTCATGATAAAACAGTATAAGTTATATAGGGATCCAGATTAAGATAATAGGAAATTAAAGATGATTACTGTGCTATATCATGATATTTTTGTGATAGCTCTCTGTGCCCTCAGATCTAGTGCATGTAGACAAACTGGGACAGAATAAATTCTATCTAAGCACAGCGGTGTGAGTAATGTGGGTTTTAATTCCTGATACACTATTGACAATATCTTTTGCTGTCTTTTTAAAGACTATCCCTTCCCTTTCACTCCCCAGGCTGCACTGTGCATTTTTGGGTTTCACCAAACCCTTGGTTTTAAATTGGGGTGGGCAACCTGCTATTTACCTAAGTGGTTCTGAACCTTCTCCTTCTTGGACTTGACCTTTAGTTGTATTCCTTTACCTATTAATGCCTGTTTTTCCAACCTATCCACAAATACTGATCTAGTTGCCCCTATTACTCTCTGGTTCCCAGTCACATAGAGTACTGTTTTCTCATATTTGATTTTTGGTCCATATACCCTTATCAGATAAATTATATTTCCTACAAAGGACACCTTGGTGGACCCTATCCCCTGATCTACTCTGTGTGTGTTTCTGCTTTTTTTATTTAGTGTATCAATGCCATTTATATTACAGATTATAGCCAACTTTCTCTGCCATTTGTTGTGCTATTTTTCTGCCATTAGTTGTCTGCTTTTATCCTTCATTTCACTTTCTTACCCATTCATTGAGGCCTCTCTGCCACTGTTCCTGAAAACCTGGTACTTTCTCTCTCTCTAGAATGTCCTTCAGTATTCTCTGTAGAGTCAGATTGGTGGTTGCGAATTCCCCCAGTTCCTCTTTGTCTTGGAAGCATCTTGTTTCTCCATTAATTTCTAGAGACAGTTTTTCTGGGTACATCAATCTGGGCTGGAGGTTATTTTCTTTCAGAGCTTGGAATACTTCACCCCAAGCTCTTCTTGATTTGATGGTCTGTGTCAAGAAGTCTGCCATGATTTTGATGGGTTTTCCTTTATAGGCAATCTGTTTCTTATCTCTGATAGCTTTCAATATTCTGTTCTTATACTGAATTTCTGGAATCTTGATTATTATATGTCTGGGTGTAGCTCTGTTTTGGTTGTAGGTGGCTAAAGTTCTGTATACCTCATACATCTGAAAATCAATTCCTTTTCCTATGCTTGGGAAGTTTTCCTTAATTATTTCTCTGAATAGCCTTTGTATTTCCTTTTTTCTTACTCCTGCTTCTTCATTCACATTCTTTATTCTTAAGTTATAGATCCTCTTATCATCTTCTAGCCTTTGTATTGTTACTGCCTGTTTCCTTGTTATTTTTAAGAAATTTTTCCTTTCATGATCCTACATTGCAAGCCTATCTTCAAGTTTTGACTGTCTACCTTTAGTTTCTTTCAAGCAGTTTTGCCAGCTTTCAATTGAGTTTTTTTTATTTCCTGGGACTTTCTTTGAACCTGCTTCATGTATTCTAGGTTTTCTTTATATTCTTCATTGACTGTTTCTCTCCTTTTTTTGTGTTCCTCCATTCTTCTGTGTCTTCTTAAGAGGTGCTTAGCATTTCTTTTATTCATCTATGTTGGGAGCCACGGCCGACACCGGTCGCCTTACTTGGTGGACGTAGGGCCTGTGGGTGGGAGCGGAGCCTGAGCTAGATTGCCCCTCCCATCGAGTGAGCCAAGTTGGCGCCTGCTTCCTGCCCCCTGATTGCGCTGGCGACTTAAACAACCTGCTCTGTAAGATAGTCTGCCTAGCAACAACTGATGTTAGCCAATCAGCCCGCATCGCGCGCTTTGAACTGATTGGCCACTGTTACCCTATAAAAGTGAATGCCTCTCCCGCCACGAGGGAAGAAGCACAGAGAGAGATAGAGAAAGTCCACCGGCGAGAGAGGGCTGGTGGCAGAGAGGAGGCCTCGCGGGGCCCACGCGGAGACAAATAAAGGCAAGGTTGCACACCGCCAGACTTTGTCGTGTGTCTTTCCTGCCGGCCGGGAGCGACCCCGACACATCTACTTATATTTTGCTTTGTTGATTAAATATTTCACTTTTGAGCTCATGTATGAGGTCCCAAAGATATCTCTTTATGTTCACTGATGCCATGTCTGATATTGCATGTTTGCTGCCCTCAATCTCTTTTGTATCTACCTGTTCTGTAGAGGACCCTCCCTAGGGTGAGTAGCCTGAATGTAATGTAAGAGAGGAAAAGAGACTTGCTTTTTTCCCCCTTATTCTTTTGTTGCTTTTGCTGTCTTCTACCACCATGAGTGGTTAGTTTTCCTTCTGCCATGTGCCACCCTGCCTTGGAGCCAGCTGATTGTGGACTGAAACTTCCACAAACTGTGAGCTAAATAAACCTCTTCTTCCTTAAATTTGGACATCAGGTATTTTGTCTCAGCAATAAGAGAAAAGTAAATAAACCAGTTATATATAAAATAAAAAGAAATCAAAAAGCAGAATTTTAAAAATAATAGTCTTCAGCTGTCAGTTGTGACCTTCTTTAACTAGCTATCATCATCATATTATGTGATAGAATGTGGTGCAGTAAAAAGATTCAAGGTTTTGAGTTCAAGTTAGAGTTAACTGGATTAGTAGGCAAAAGTATTAAGCCTTCATCTCAAAATTCAACAGGAGATTTTGGTGGACAGTGGTGTGGTGGGAGCCGTGGTAACTGCAAGAAGGCTTGGCTGGATCTCAGTGGCAGAGTTTGCTTAGACCTTGTGAAGTATACTCAGCTGATTCCAAGAATGATGCAGCTGTGAATCGGGGGACCAGGATGATGTAAGTTTATGAAACAGAACAAACACAAAAATGAAAGTGAGGAGCAAGCTGTCAGGTCACAGACGACAGTCATATCCAGGCCAAGTCAGGAAGTAGGATCACTGAACAGCCTTAGAGAGGTTACAAAGGATCCTAAAGAGAATTCTCAGTCCTTGACAGAGGAAACACTCTGAGGTGGTCACCTAGAACAGCTCTGTAACCCCAGCCTGATTAGAAGAAATCTGCCCTGGTGGTACTTCAGAGAAGGGGGCTGACTGAGGACATTTCCTATCCATTCCACATAGATCCAAAGTGGGTTAAGGGACCATTCTGCCTCCTTTAGCCACTCATATCTCTTTATCTGGTAACAGAAATGTTCTTTCTTATGAGTAATTCATTCTACACAGTGTACAGCTGACCTCACATGCCTGGTGTGACAATCTTCCTGGATTGCCTGGAACTGAGAAGTTTGTTGACATAGATGACCCTCTTTCAGTTTTAAAACTGAAAGAATATGAGGCCATGTGGGATGAGCTGATTACCCTGCTCCACATGATAACCACAATCTCATATCAAAGAAACACATATGCTACCCTCATGTAGGCCAATGGGTGTCCTTCCCAGGACATCTGCTTATTTGCAAAGTTGGGACTATTAATTCAGACTACACAAAGTTAATGGAATGGATGTTGTGAGCTGCTGGTGGTCACTGATCCTTATTAGCCAAATATCTGTTTGAGAGATAAAGCTGAATTCCAATCTCTGATAGTCATCTTACCCAGCTAAGTATGAAACAAACACACTTGGGAAACTTTCAGGACAGGAACTAACAAAACAGCTTCTGATTAAGTTTAGATTTGGTTTTTGGTGTGGCTTAATCTAGTTGGTACCTTGGATAGAATACATGAGACTTCTGTGTTTAGGCATCTTTGTTTCAAGAGGTCTCTCACTTCGTGAGACAAAAGAGCTGACATTAGTGATATTCAGAGTATTAGTATGGAATTGCCTAAACTACAAAATCCTCTGCTTTGGCCAGTGTCATGTGATTAGCTGTTGTATATTGTTGATGTCTATTTACACAGTGTTTTCTTGTTAGACAGCTCCTCCCTTCTTCTGCTGGATCTTGCCAGGGTCTTTTGACCATGCGGGCCGTTCCAAGTATCTCCTCACCCCTCTGGCTCAGCTCCTGTAGCTCTATGCCTTGCTCTAAATATACAACAACTACCAGCCAGTACAAAATATTCCCAGCTTTTCCAGTCTTTGTGGGTTCCCACTCACAACAGTTCTCTCGCCCTGGAAAGCACATCTTGTTGCTCTCTGCTTTTGGTACATGGCCTGGTTTGCCCTGACTTTGGCTCGAGGAAGGAATTAAAACCAACAAATGGAGTTTTGACTTAATCTTTGGGTGATTGGGTGTTAGTTGCAACATTGTTTCTACCTTTTTTAGAAATATGACCCTTTTTCATGTGATCATTTTAGGCTTCATGGTTCATTACTAGTCAACAACTTTCTCTCCCAAATCATACAACTTTGACTAGGTCATTGGGTCAGGTAGAGCACAGATAGTTACAGATTTATAGCAAACATTTGTGAAGATTCTGAACTAGAGCTTAGCTAGGAAGGATGCTGACACAGCTATATTTTTCAACTATTAGTAGACATGAGAAGGGCTGGGGGTACTTGTTTAAACTGCATATTTCTAAGCTCATTTTCAGTGAATTTGATTCAATATGTCTGAATGGAGGCCATAAACAAACATTTGAAGCAATAATTTCAAATGATTCTAGAGTATTGGTCTCTACCATAGTTTAAGAAACATTCCTCCATGGTGTGTTCAGAGCATAAACTAGAAGAAAGATTCTGACAGTCTGGGCGCACTAAAATAAATGCAGAAAAGACCACCTTTGGGGCTCTCAAATTCACTTTGGGCTTTGTTTTTTAAGCAATTTGGTAAGTATAGAAGTCAGAATGCAGAAACATGAGCTACACACATACCCCCCATATATTCCATAATATTCCATAACCCCTACACAGTGGTAGAGACTGTTGGAACTTGGAAGTGCCCTGTCAAGCACATCATAGGGTGTCTGAGCTTATTCTGGAGAACTGACTTTATGTTCTCATATTTGGATTGATTCAGTTCAACAAAATCCAGTATTGCTAGCACAACTCAGAGGGAGCCAGGTCTATGGAGCTATAAGACAATTATCCCAAATGTAATTGTGCCCCAGTCCAGTGTGTACCGAAAGATGGTATTTCATAGTTGCCTACTCTCATAGAGTGAACAGAGGAAGGCTCAGAGGACCAAGATCTGCACCGTATTCTAAGAGGGAGGGACACAGCCCATCAGGCTGAGGCTCCTGGCATGTGATGACAGTATCTATGGTGTTGTGAGTGTGATGGAAGTCTTTGTACTTCTAGCATAACTCAAAGACTTCATTGGCTGCCAGCTTTTGGACTAAGTGTAGGAAACCTGTGAACCTTTCTACAGGACCAAAACACTAGCTCTGAGGCAGATGACAAGTTCTGAAATCCATAGGAAAACAGCAGAATAATTTATACTTAGAATAAAGCTCTTTGATGAAACTATTTATCAAAATAGTTGGTTCTAAATGCTATACACCAGTGGTTCCCAGGTCAGTAATATCACAAAGGCTGCCACAGTGTTTTTCTCCTGGATGTCTTTGATAAAGAGCTATTGGAAAGTTCTTTCATAATGCTGGAATTTTCTATTAAAGAATAAGAATTTAACAAATCTGAGTAAAACATACTATAAGATTATAATGGAAGTCAGCTTTGAAAAAAATCAGTACAAATTATAATTGGGCTTACACACAAGTTTTCTTATTCTCTTGAAAGTGTCATGCTTTAGAGTGTTTGAAAGTGTCTTTTGCCAGCTTCATGCTTTAGAGGTGACTCTGTCTTAGACGTCACTGAACAGTCACAGGCCATCTGACAGGAACCTTCCTTCTCTGCAGCTCGAACCTTTTCTCAATATTCATCTCCTTGTGTTCTCTTTCCTTTCTATTTCTGAAAAAGAACCAAATTGTCTACGTTATAAATTTAATTCTTGCCCTAAAAATACTGGGGTAGTGTTAGGGTAGAGTGCTTCCCTATTCTAGGTGGAACCAGCAAAATTTTAAGGGTTAGTTGTAGACTGTGGACCAAGAGACATACTGAACTCAGTTTCAGAGGCAAATGTTAGGCATCTGGTGCAAAGACAGTCTGAATCTACAGAGATGCCATCAGGGCTCAGAATCCAATGAAAGCAGGAGCATTAAAAAGTGGAGCTCAGATGAGCCCAGGTGAAATGGTTTAGACTTCAGGCAAAGGCAATGGGAGTAAGTGAGTCATGGGTTTTCCTGTCTGGGTTATGGGAATGTCCGGTGAGAAATAGATGCTGATTCCATCCTTACCCTCTAGCATCAAATATCTTTCCTTAATGAGTGCACAGGTTACTCCAATCCATCTAGCATCAAATATCTTTCCTTAATGAGTGCACAGGTTACTCCAATCCATTGTGTCCTTCCTTTTCCAAAAGGCTATTATTTCCCTTACTTCCTTTACTTCAAGCAAATGTTTCCCCCAGGGAAGTCCAGAGGTATCAGTCACTGTGGCTTGTGGCTCTTCACAGCCTACACACTTGGAACACTCCAGCCTTGAAGTTCCTCCCTTGGCTGCACTCTCTTCTCATCTCCTCAGCTGTTTCCACTGCCTTCTCTGAACTCTTAGCTATGTGTGACTTAAGGATGTGTTCTTGGCCCCTTCTTAATTCTCTCTCTATTCTCCCCTGGGAGATATATCCAAGTTCATGAGTTGGATTAGTCTCTATAGATAGGTGATTCTTGAACCGAAATTAGAAATTTTGATCTAGACCTCAATGTCCTAATTCTTCAACAATGGGTAGAATGTCTCTCTTCCCACATTCATTCAGATATCAAATTTTGTTGATTGAGATGTTGCATTTGTCTTTCCATTTCTATCATTATTTTTCTTTATGTTTTTATGAAAAATAATTTTAATAACACCTGGATAAGTTTCTTTTCATTAATTGACCCTTAGATAAGTTTCTCAAAACTCTTCATATGACTTATTTTTTTCTTAAGAAATTCAGAATAAATGAAAAATTAAAGGAAAAAAACCAAACTTTTTGCAATTCCCAGATGACTTATGTTAAACTGTTATATTCTTCAAGGACTGCTGAGCATGTTTTTTTGTTTTTTTTTTTTTTTACTCTTTTTTTAAAAAAATTTAAAGAAAGACTAAAAACAGAAAATGGGTACAAATAATACATGCATTCAGAGAAAAAATAAATAGTAAGAAATCACTAGCTAATGTTTAAGTACTGTCCTTTTACAAATAGTTGTTCAAGATACAAAAGTGGAACATATAAAGTGGGAATTCAACAGCGAGTATGCAAACAGTTTTGTTTAACTATCCAACAAAAACTTAGTATCCAACAAAAACTTAGTAATATGGTTGTCAGTCCTATACACTTAAATATACATGCACTTATCCATATCTTTATTTATGTTGGGATTACACAAACTAAAGCAGGCTAAAGTCATTCTGAACAAAGAATAATAGCATTGCTGGATTTCACATCATGAACCTCTAGAATCAGCACTGGGTACTATAGTGTCTATTTTAAAATTTTATTTAAAGAAAGAGTAAACAAAACAGAAAATGGGTAGAAATAATACATACTTTCAAAGAAAAAATAAACAGTAAGAAATCACTAGTTGATGATTACAGATTGTCCTCTTACAAACAGTTATTCAAGATACTAAGTGGAGCATATAAAGTGGGGATTCAAACAGTGAGACTGTAACCAGTTCTGTTCAACTATCCAACAAAAACTTAGAAATATGGTTATCAATCCTATACACTTAAACATACATGAAGTTATCCATATCTTCAATTATGTTGATATTGAATAAACCCAAGCTGTCTAATATCACTCTGAACAAAGAATAATACTATTACTGGGTGTCACATTATGACACTCCAGGGTCAGCACTGGGTACTTGAATGTCTCTTTTTCTTCAAAGTATCTATTCATTTCATCATGTGCCATAAGATCAGTTCTTATAAACTGTTTATAGATTCTACACATGCATGAGTCTTAACATATATTTCTATCATTTCTTTATTAGAGGAGGGAGCAAAATTAAGCAAGACAAAACAAAACATATTACTATAAACACATGAAATGAAAAAGACATATAAGATCATTGTACAAGGAGTTCTACCATTGTTCCTGTGTTCTCTTGTTATCTTCAATAGAATTGGCTATATCATCAGACATAGTATAATTGAATATATTAGTACATAACAGTATTAATACAAACACAACTTTGTATATAGTATAAAACTTCAAAAGCAGGCAGTTATCAAACCAGAATGTGTATTCATAGTCTTGTCATCTTCTGTTTAGTTGCCTATACTCTCAGACTTCATACTATCAATCATACTAGTTTTGAATAAAATCTGTTGATACCAATCAGCAATCAAACAAACCAGATTTAACTACCATCAGTCATGATAAAACAGTATAAGTCATACAGGGCTCCAGATTAAGATAATAGGAAATTAAAGATGATTACTGTGTTATATTCTGATGTTTTGGGGATAGCTGTCTGTGCCCTCAAATCTAATGCAAGTAGACAAACTGGGACAGAATAAGCAGAGTGGTGCGAGTAATGTGGGTTTTAAATCCTGATACATTATTAACAATATCTTCTGTCATCTTCCTTAAAACTCTCCTTCCCCTTTCACTTCATCAGGGTACACTGTGCATTTTTGGGTCTGACCCAGACCTTTGGTTTTAAATTCGGGTGAGGGGGCAACCTGCTATTTACTTAAGTGGTTCCAAACCTTCTCTCTCCTGGACTTTATCTCTAATTGTATTCCTTTACCTATTAAAGCCTGTCTTTCTAACCTATCCACAAATACTGGTCTAGTTGCCCCTATTACTCTCTGGTTTTCTGTCACATAGAGCATTATTTTCTCATATTTGATTTTCAGTCCATGTGCTCTTTTTCATGTTAATTATATTTCCCATAAATAGCATCTCGGTGGACCCTGCCTCCTGATCTACTCCACATGTGACTGTTTTTTTTAAATTTAGTGTATCAAGGCCATCTATATTAGAGGTTATAACCAACCTTTTCTGCCTCATTTCTGTTATGCTCTTTTTTTGCCATCAGTTGTCTGCTTATCTTCTTCATTCTGTTTTCTGCTCCATTCATTGAGGCTTCTCTGCCACTGTTCCTGGAATTCTAGGACTTTTCTCTCTCTCTAGAATGCCCTGCAGTATTCTCTGTAGAGTTGGATTGGTGGTTATGAATTTCCCAAGTTCCTCTTTGTCTTGGAAGCATCTTGTTTCTCCATTAATTTCTAGAGACAGTTTAGCAGGGTATATCAATCTGGGTTTGGGGTTATTTTCCTCCAGGGCTTGGAATATTTCACTCCAGACTCTTCTTGACTTGATGGTCTGTGTCAAGAAGTCTGCCATTATTCTGATGGGCCTTCTTTTATAGGTGATCTGTTTCTTGTGTCTAACAACTTTTAATATTCTGTTCTTATATTGAATTTCTTGGATCTTGACATGCCTAGGTGTAGCTCTTTTTTGGTTGTAGGTGGCTGGAGTTCTGTATGCCTCATACATCTGAATATCCTTTCCTTCTCCTATGTTTGGGAAGTTTTCCTGAATTATTTCTGTGAATAGCCTTTGTAGTTCCTTTGTTTGCACCCCCGCTTCTTCATTCACATTCTTTATTCTCAAATTATAGATCTGCTGTTTTCTAGCCTTTGCATTGTTACTGTTTGTTTCCTTGTTATTTTTTAAAAGTTTTTCCTTTCATAATCCAACATTGCAAAACTATCCTCCAGTTTGGATAATCTATCGTTTCTTTCAAGCTGATTTGCCATCTTTCCATAGAGTTTTTAATTTCCTGGTAATCTCCTTGAATCTGCATCATGTATTCTATATTTTGTTTATATTCTTCATCAAATGGTTCTCTCCTTTGTTTGAGTTCCTCCCTTCTTCTGTCTGTGTTTGCTTGAGAGGTGCTTAGCATCTCTTTAGTTAACCTTCTTATATCTTGCTTTACTTGGCTATTTCACTTTTGAACTCGTCTATGAAGTCCCAAAGATATCTCTTTATGTCCACTGGTGCCATGTGTGATATTGCTTGTTTGCTGTTCTCATTCTCCTTTGTATTTACCTGTCCTGGATCAATGTTCTCAGGGTTGGGACCTGGGGACTTTTGTTGTTGCTTCCTCTTCCCATCTTTTTAGCTTCTTCCAGAAGGCTCCAGTTTCTGTCTTTGTTGGTTACAATTCCTCTGCATGCTGGCCAGGCAATCCCTCCCACTGCAGTGTGCGGAGTTGCAGACAGGGGCAGTGTATGTTGGCCTCTTCCCTCTGGATCAGCCAAGCTGCTAAGGCCTGCACTGCACCACTACACACTGCCTCCCCACAAGGTTAGTCAAACTTTTGAGGCTTTAATGTATTAGTATGGGCCGCTGCCATAGGGAACTGATCTTGGACAACCTATTGGGTCTCAGCCAGTTCACATGACCCAGGCCTAGCTCACCCTACCAATCCGGTTCAGGAAGGGAACAACAGACTAAGGTCACTGCTGCCCCTTGTACTTCCCAGTCCTGCCCAATCCCAGAATGTCATCTGCCAGAGCCTCCCCTTTCTGTTGAATGGCTCCAATCCCATCACTCACCACAGGTTGATGCAGGCTCCCCACCAGCTCCGCTCTGTTTGGCTGGCCAACCCCCGACCTTAGCGTGACTGCGCCTCCAGTGAGTTGCAGAGGCTGGAACTTGGATGGCTCGGCACATTACCTGCTGCAGCAGGAGCACTGATCCCCTAGCTATTCCAATAATAGCACTGGGAGTATATGTTTGATTGGTTCTTCTCACCTTAGTTTCTTCTTAGGAAGACAGAATTCATCTCCCTCTGTTTGGGACTCCTCATGCTGTATTATGTTGAATTTTAAGTTGACTATCTGACTGC